AATATTTTATTTATTTGAGAGAGAGAGAGAATGAACGTGAAGGGGGGAGGGGCAGAGGGAGAAGCAGGCTCCCGGCTGAGCAGAGAACCCGATGTGGGACTCGATCCCAGGACCCTGGGACCACGACCTGAGCCAAAGGCAGACGCTTGACCGACTGAGCCACCCAGGCACCCCTAAACATGTCCTTTATTGCTAACTGAGAAGAAAATAAGCTAGAATTCCTCAGATTTTCTCAACTAACTTAATCTCCTTTCAAAGTAATTACGTATTTCATCCAGAACCATATACTGACAAAGAGTCAGTGGCAACAGTATGCATAAAATACAATCTTTATAACTTCTTGAAACCAGCAAAAAGTCAAATATAAATTATGACAGTAATTTTCTCAAGATCGGATACTTACACATCAGCCAAAACTATCCGTGTCCGTGTCACATTCTCTATGGTGAATTTGGTTTTTCCTCCTTTGCCAGCGATTCTTCCTATTGCCCTTGACAGGTGGTCTCCCTTTAGGGGTTTTACTAAATGAGAGAATCAAGGCCTCAGGAGGCAAGCAATTCCAGCACACCACCCACTCCATAATGAAGTTTAATCACTAACTAAATTTACCTACTAAAAGATACAAAAAATATATATTTTAAAACCTGCTAATTATACAGGTCAACTGATGCTATTAGAAAGCTAAAAGTCACTTACAATACAAAGTCGGCAGTAGAAAAGTATAATAGTTAATAGGAAAAGACCACCCTATACTCACCATCTGTAATTTCAAAAGACTCTAGGAAAAGGTCATCCAACCTAATGAGGGCAAGTGCATCCTACAACATAAAAATAAATGCTGTGAAGCCCTTACGTTTAGATACCTGAGAATAACTACTAAGTTAAAATTCACCAGACCTAGAAAACTCAAAGTTTTTTAAAAAGCCCAAATCCACAGAAACACTCACAGACCCTGGGATCATGACCTGAGCCGAAGGTAACACTTAACCAACTGAGTCACCCAGGTGCCCCTCATATTAAGTGTTTTTAAGCACCTATTTTAGATGTCATGAAATCACTTACCTCCACCTGAAACCCAAGAATAAAGGCTTTCACAAAATCAGCTGCTTTTGTCAAGGCACTAACATCCTTGGTATCTTTACAAGTCTGTTAAAAAAAAAAAAAAAGGGCACTTTTTATGGCTGGAGATGAAAATACTCTAATACAACACGAGGACTGATGGCCAGCATATACTCGCCATTACATGCTGATGGTTCCCAATGCACTAACTCCAGGACTACCACGAATGGTTTAAGCAGGGATCTTGTCCTTAAAGGCTCTACTAGATAATTGCAGAAATAGCTACTATTCATAAAATCCCAACCACTAAAAGTGACACGTATCGCAAAGGTGCTTTACACACAACAGCCCTAATCTTCACGTCGACCCTGAATTTTTTTTTTTAAGATTTTATTTATTTATTTGACAGAGAGAGACACAGCGAGAGAGGGAACACAAGCAGGGGGAGTGGGAGAGGGAGAAGCAGGCTTCCCACGGAGCAGGGAGCCTGATGCGGGGCTCGATCCCAGGACCCTGGGATCACGACCTGCGCTGAAGGCAGGTGCTCAACAACTGAGCCACCCAGGCGCCCCTCGACCCTGAATATTAAGTAATATAAAAACTTTTATATTTGAGAAAACTGAAGTACTGAAAAGTGAAAAAGGCAGAATTCCGACACAGGTCTGATTCCAAAATTGTCATTTCCATTCTCGCACAAAAACTCAAATTTAGTTGAGGGGACCACATATTTGACAAATTTCAAACTTCACAGGCTGTGTAATGCACATATAAAACTAGATTCCAGTTCCAATCCTGTATGTGACTTTGGGCAAGTCCCATAGATGCTCCAAGTCTTAGGTTTTCTCATTTGTAAAATAAAAAAGTCAGGGGTGGCGGGGGGTCCTTTCAGGACTAACAAGATTCACTTGTTAGTGAATGACTTTGATGACTCTGACTAACCTACTCCTTTGACTCAGTTTCCTCACATCTAAAGGATGGTGATATGACAACTACTTCACAGGCCTGTCTTAAAGATTAAAATGATGTAGTGCACGCCAAAGCACCACTATGTGCCTGGCATCCAGAAGCAGCAACGGGTGTGAGTGGAATCCAAACTGATGGCTCTGCAACACGTAGTAAGACAGCCAAGCAGAGTAAGAGTGTAGACTCTGAAGACATGACTGAAACACAGAGCAATCCTAAAGGAGAAAGCACTTGAGCTAGACTCCGAGAGATGACTGGAATTGAGGCTGGAAAAGAAAGAGTATGGAGGAGAGGGCTTTCTTCAGATGGCAAAGTCCCCCACAGGTATGGACATAAAAAGGTCAGAGTTGATGAGATGAACTTGGGACTTAGCTTCCTACTTAAAAGGCAAGTTCAGGGGCGCCTGAGTGGCTCAGTCGGTTAAGCGGTTAAGCATCTGCCTTCGGCTCAGGTCATGATCTCAGGGTCCTGGGATCGAGCCCCATAGCAGGGAGTCCATTTCTCCTTCTCCCCGTGACCTCTCGCTCTCACTCTCTCTCAAATAAATAAATAAATAAATATCTTTAATAAAAAAAAAGAAAAAGGGCAAGTTCAGTCAAAAACTTAGCTCTTACCCTTCAGAGATTTTGAAGATACCAGAGTACCATAGTGAAAGCAGTGTGGTCCAGGAAAATTAATCTGGCACTGGCAGAGGAAGGACTGGTGAGAGGAGATTTAAAGCAACGAAGCAAGGGAAACCTCTAAGGAAACAAGGCGTTTTGGCACAAAACTACAAGAACCTGAAGAAAAAGGAGTTCTGCCAAGTTCCATATTTTAAACTTTACCAACTATTTAAAGCAGTGCCCCTCTGCTTTATTCCATTATTCTAGTTCAACAGAGATGAGTCTATACCAGTCCTGATGATGGTATAAGAGCCCTCAAAATGGAAGATATAATTAATTTTGGTCATTGATTCTAATATAAAACTGGCACCCAGAAAAGGAAGCCCAAAGTCAATTAACATTGTCTAGCTTTTGAACTGACACCATGAAATGAATATATATGTGTGTGCACAGCAAGCACTTTTATTCTCTATTTATGTATGTCTGTTTATGACCAGCTCTTTACTCAGCCTTGTCTCATTTCAACACAGAACATCATAAAATACATACACAGGCATAACCAGTATTTTGGTATGACCTTAGGTCCACCTTATGAATTCAACTAATATTTGTGTTGAATGCAGAATTTGAAGACATTCAAGAAGTTCGAACTCACTATACTATTTTAGAAAACTGTATAACGACAATTTAACAAAACAAGTCCCATTAAGGAAAGTCTATTCACTTCTTTTCACCCCTGTAGGAAAAAGAAACCCTAATATATTTGGAAATGGTTGACATTCTCCTTACCCTAATTTCTACATTCCTCGATTTCAAGTTAAACCGTATCTGAAGTCCCAAATGTTCTACAATAGGAGTAAATATCTTCATCCAGTTCTCTTTTAGTGGCGTGTATCTGTTAGCTGGGACTGGAATTTTTCTTGTTTCTTCTTTCCCACCCTACAATAGAAGAACACACAAGTCGGGAGATGTATTGGGATGGAGGTGGAGCTGTAAAATGACAGCTCTTCCACAAGAAGCTTTCTTTAACCGAACGAATTAAACTTCGCTCAGGAGAGTCACTTCTTGAAGGCCGTCACGAAAGAACGGCCCCCGCCCTTTCAACATCACCCAGGGACCACCGGCTTTGGCCCCGGCCCCGTTCCTGTCCCACGGTCCCCGCTAGTACCAGGAATTCATCCCCGGCGAGGGGCGGGAAAACCGGCCTCTTCGCGGGCCGGGCCTCCTCCGTGTCCATGCGGCCCGCCTCCCCTCCGTCCCCCGCCGCGGACAGCTGCTCAGCCTGCCGTTTCTTCGCCCGCCGCCCACCCTTGCGGGTGACTTGGGTGAAGCCGTCTTCGGCCCCGGCGCTCTGCGCTTCCATCTTCGTTTCCATCCCCAGGAATCTCCAGCTCCAACATGTGCTTCCGGCTAGAACGCGTTCGCCGCTGCACGGCGCAGGCGCGCCTCGCGGGGTCCAGCGTCCGCCAACCAGCCCCAGGGCTCCGCCCCGTTTCCTAAGAAGTCCCGCACAGGGGACCTGAAGCAGGGTTTCGTGCGTTTGCTGGGGATGTAGGGGAGGACATCCTAAAATATGCCTGATTCCTATGGTGCCCCTCTGGCTTCGCCACTCACAGCCGAAACAATTGCCATCTCCAATACGTGTATGTACGAAAGGCAGTAGGTAAAGACGATAAGCAAGTTTGCGCTGTCCGTGAAGAAAAATCTGGCGTGACTTCAGTAGCGCATCGGGCATTATCTGAGACAACTAAATCCAACTCGCCAGGGCGACAGGGGACGACTACGGCAAGTGGTAGGGGGAAACTGTCGTTAATGTTTGGAGTTTGGTTTCCCGGTTAGTGTTTTGTCAGGCTTTGGGTGTGCTGGTTGGTGGAGGGAGATCGGCTGGACCATGTCGGCCTTCGAGAAGCCTCAGATCATCGCCCATATCCAAAAGGGCCTCAACTACACGGTATTTGACTGTAAGTGGGTGCCCTGCAGCGCCAAGTTTGTGACCATGGGCAACTTCGCACGGGGCACCGGCGTCATTCAACTGTACGAGATCCAGCACGGGGACCTAAAGCTGCTTCGGGAGGTGGGTGCCGGGCGAGACTGCCCAGTTCCAGGCTTTGCCGTTGGTGAGGGGGCGAGTGAGGATTCGGGAGTGGGGGGAGTTTGCATTTCTTTTTGCCCCAGCCTTCGTCCAGCGTCCCCCAAAAGCACAGCTCGAGCTGCGCGGAATCAGCGAAGGTGATCGCAGATTGAGGAATACTGCCGACGTAAAACGCTTTGCTTCGAGTCCTGAATTCTCGGCTGGCCAGTTCATCTGTTCCCTGCTGGCCCCTTCCTGCAGCCACCCCTGCATTCCAGCGTGAGGTCTCTGGGAAGTGACATTAAGACTTCGTCTAAATTCGAGGTTCTTCTAGGCAGTGGGCAGTTGTTTGTGGAGAGTCGCTTTAATTAGGCCTGTGTTAGTAAAATGCTCTTTCGTACAAGCAGAGACAAGGCAGGCATGCACTGCATGTATGCCTGCACTGTAATTGGAGGAGACAACCTAACCATTATTATTTTTTAATATTTTCTTTATTTTTTCATGAGAAACAGAGAGAGAGGTAGAGGCAGAGGAAGAAGCAGGCTCTCAGCGGAGCAGGGAGCCGGATGCGGGGCTCCATCCCAGGACCCTGGGATCACGACCTGAACCAAAGGCAGACGCTTAACGGATTGAGCCATCCAGGCGCCCCTTAACCATTTATTCTTTCAATAAGTTATCAGTTGATTGCCTGGTATTCCCAGGCATATGAATGACAATGTCTCCGGTCTCATGGGGTTTCTTTTCTTTTCTTTTTTTTTTTTTTTAAAAATTTTATTTATTTATTTGACAGAGAGAGACACAGCGAGAGAGGGAACACAAGCAGGGGGAGTGGGAGAGGGAGAAGCAGGCTCCCCGCAGAGCAGGGAGCCCGATGCGGGACTCGATCCCAGAACCCTGGGATCATGACCTGAGCTGAAGGCAGTCGCTTAACCAACTGAGCCACCCAGGCGCCCCTCATGGGGTTTATTTTCTAGTGGGAGAGAGAATCCGTTAAATAATCACCGATGATGCCTAAGTACAAACTGAGATGAATTCCCTAATATAAAGTTACACGGTTCTGTGAGAGTAAAAACAGATTTGGGATGAGTAGAAGCTAACTAGGCTAAAGTAGGAGTAGAGGAGGAGGAGGTTTCCAGAGGAAACAGCATCAGTGGAAGCTTGGGAAGGGGAGCAGACTTTGCAAGGTTTGTAGGTCATTTAAAAGATGTACCCCTTTTTAAATGGTACATCACTGAAGGACTTTTAGCTGGGTGTGCCAAGATCAAGTTTGCAAGTTTTGTGATGATCATTAGGGAAAGACTTAGAATAATGATTTTTTAAAAAGATTTTATTTATTTATTTGACAGGGAGAGAGACAGAGAGCACAAGCAGGGGGAGCAGCAGAGGGAGAGGGAGAAGCAGGCTCTCAGCTGAGCAAGGAGCCCGATGTGGGGCTTGACCCCAGAACCCTGGGATCGCGACCTGAGCCGAAGGCAGAGGCTTAACGGACTGAGCCACCCAGGTTCCCCAGAGAATAATGATGTTAACTAACATTCTTACACTTGTTTTTAAAATGCGTTGATTTTGGGTGATCAGCCATAATCAAGCAGTTAGGGTTGTAATAGACTACAGGGAAGGCTCCAGGGATTAAAAACTATGGAGAGAGTCTGCGTGGACGAGATAGGCATTAAACAGATAAAGGATGAATACAATTTGGACAGGCAAGCTTGGATGAGAAGGTATATAAGATCCCATCTCACTTTAAAGTTCTATGAGTGCCAGTTTTCTTGTTCAGTTTGTCTTTTCAAGCCAGGTACGCAGAGTTCCTAAACTTGGCTTGTTCTTTTCCACCTTGCCTTCTGTTGCTCACCAGTTAGCCCACAGGCACCTGTTGCTATTTTAGGGTCCAGTTCAGATTATTTATTTTTTATTTTTTTATTTTTTAAAGATTTTATTTATTTGACAGCGAGAGAGGGAACACAAGCAGCGGGAGTGGGAGAGGGAGAAGCAGGCTTCCCACGGAGCAGGAAGCCCGATGCGGGGACTCGATCCCAGGACCCTGGGATCATGACCTGAGCCGAAGGCAGACGCTTAACGACTGAGCCACCCAGGCACCCCAGTTCAGATTATTTGATTTAGGAAATCCCATCCTGATCCCCACACAAACTTCTTTACACTGCATTCCTCTGGTAATTATTATCTGCTCCAGAAATAAATAATTGTGTCCCATTTATCTCTAATTAGATTGTAAGCTCCTGGAGAGTAAGGATAGTGTCTATCATTAGTGTGGTTTGTAAGGTTCAGCCACTCAATAAATTACTTGTTAAAAGAATGAGTGAATGTATATCTGTAAAAGGATGTAACTTGGGAAATTTAAATATTGATTTGTTGATCATTAGTCAGCTGGCGTCAGGGTTTGAACAAATGGGAGACATTGGAATAGCAGACAGAAACTTACCGGTAAAGTATTAGGAACAAATACCAAATACCATCAAATTTCACCAGAGAGCATTTACCACTTGTGACTTTTTAAAAATAAAATATAATTTGTGTACATTTAAGGAATACACTTGTTCCACAAAGTGAAATAGTGCCCTTTGTCTCTATCTATTGGCAACCTACTATTTCAAGATACTATGTGAAAGAAGGACCAAAGATGCTTGAAAGATGAGTCCCTTCTTCTAAAGAGCCTCCTGTCTAAAGAGAGGGTTAAACTAATGCAAAAACACTTTTGAGAACTTAGATCGAGTGTGGCTGAGATGGTGCGATGGAAAAGGCTATGGGTGTGACAAAGGCTCAGTGATGCGCCACCCTTACTATGTGTGCATCGGGATCAGCCGAGTGTGTTCTGCTGCTGCTGCTGCTGCTGTTGTGTGTATGTGTGTTTTAAAATATTCATGCCTTGGTCCCACCTTAAGGAATTCTGATGCAGTGGGACTCTTGCGTCTACACTAGAGTGAGGCTTGGGTATCAGTATTTTTAAAACTTCAATTAGGTGATTCTAACAGGCACCAGTGTTGACTACCATTGGGCTAGATGAATTATTGAAATCCTTGATTCTTCATTGTGGGACCACCTCAAGTCATGTGTTCCAAAGCCCATGCATCCAAGGTCAAAATGTGTGAAGGTTGCAAATGGGTCTTCGTTGATGGCTGCCTTCTCTTGTTACTAAAGACAGGGAGTGAGGGCCTTCATGTACAGTTGAGTAGTTTGCTCCATCACACACAGGGTGCAGGGTTCGAGGGAAAGCTGAAATCTATTTCTTTCTCATCAAACTCTGCAGGTGTGAGACTTCTCATTCTATAAAGAGCAGCTTTTCTCTAATTGGCACAAAGGACTAGGGGTGGCCCTGAAAAATGGAATCATAGTTGTGGATGTTTATACTGTAAAAATTAATAATAAGCTAATAAAGTTCTGCTTTTTTAGCTCCTGTGCCACTGAGTTCACTGCTTGTTACCATTTGGTTGACTAACCCTTTTAATGTTAATTAAAGTAGTGCCAGGATGTGGAGGAGGAAATACTGACAAGCTGTCCTAGACCCACCCACAGACAGAACAAGAATAGCTCTCATGGGAATTATCCATCATGGGCTTCCTTAATCATGTTCACTTACTGTAGCAAAGAAAACTAACAGCTAGGTCAAAAATGACCGTCTATGATGTGTCATACAGCAAAAGTTATTAATATATACCAATTTTCTTTGTGGAACACATTTTGTAAAATCTTTTTAGCCAGTTTTTTTTTTTTTTCCTAGCAAGAAAACTTTAAGTAACCCCTGGATTTTTTAAATCTTTCTTTTCAAAGGTAAAATATTTAACCAAAGCAGGGAGGGAGCCTTTTTATTAACTCTAAAAAATTGGCTTCACTCCAGTGCCCCTTCTTAAAGGTATTATGATTTCCATGAATATCTTAGCGAAAACACTCCTGCTTCTATAAGTCCCTTTGCCAGCGGAGCTCAGCCCTTCTCAGCAAACTGCAATCCTCACTGTCATGCGGATGTTAAGATGTTTATACATTTGAGGTTTTTTTTTTTTTAAGATTTTATTTATTTATTTGAGAGAGAGTACGAGCGAGGGAGTACAAGGAGGGGGAGCAGCAGAGGGAGAGGGAGAAGCAGACTTCCCACTGAGCAGGGAGCCCAATGCGGGGCTCTGCGGGGCTCGATCCCAGGACCCTGGGATCATGACCTGAGCTGAAGGCAGCCGCTTAACCGACTGAGCCACCCAGGTGCCCCTATATTTGAGTTATTTTTTTAATGTTTTTATATTTTGAGTTGAATTTGACTCTTGGCACAGCAGACTACTACTACCTATAAATCTCTCTTTATTTTTTTTGGTATAAGGAGAAAAAAGAACATGAGGGAAGCATAAATACCATATATTAACATCTTGTAAAGATATGAATGAAGGTAAAAACCAAAGGACACAAATCTGAAAGTAGGTTCAGTTTGTGACTATACCATTTTCCTCACCAGTCCATTTCAAGGTTGGAACATTTCTTTGGTACTTCTAATGACTCTCAGGTTTATAGAATGGGGGCTACATACTAAACTTTATTTAATTGATTTACATGTAGGTCTGGGGGCAGCCTAGTTTAGTATAAAGAGCTTGGAGTCTCCCTGGCTCTAGGGACCTTGAGCAAGCCCAGTCCTCTGAACCTGTTTCCTCATCTGGAAAGGAGTGTTCCAAATACTTTGCTTGCAGTTGTGTCCTAGTCTGGAAGAACATCTAGAACACATCTGATCTATGTGTTCAATATATGGATGCTGTTTTCATCGCATATAAATGACACCAGAAACTATATGGTGTGTCATGTGAAAACATGGGAGAAATGAGAATATGGACTCCAGCAATGGTTTCTCTCTCCCCAGCACTAGGAATGAGAGGTTAATAATTAAGATATTCATTTATACTTTGATTTAACAAATGTTGAGCACCTACAAGGTTTTTAACAGATGGGACAAGGCCCCATTCTCATGATACTCATTCTAGAAAGGATGGCGGTAGAGTATTGAATAAATAAAATAATTTTATTGGTAAGTGCAATAAAGAAGGTTAAACAAGGTGAGTGATAGTGATTTGGGGGTTCCACTTCAGATTGGAGGAGCAGGGAAAACCTCTTAAAGGAGGTGACATTTAAACTGAAATCTAGATTAGGAGAAGGAAGACATGATGATCTGAGGGAAGAGCAGTTCAGGCAGTGGTAATAGTAAATGCAAATGTCCTGAGGTAGAAATGACTTTGTTGTGTCTGAAGAGCAAAAAAGAAAGCTGCAGATGTGGCTGGAGTGTAGTAGAGAGGAGAGAAGCAGGACATAAGTTCAGAGAATCAAGGCAAGATTCCAAAGAGCTTTGTACGTTTTGTCTACCACGGCTGTTGGTGCCACTCCTGCGAGTCTGAACCTCTAAATGTAGATGCATTTTATTTCATTCCGTTATATTTCAGTAAAGACTGACTTTCAGAATTTGTGCAATGACAAATGTGGAAATACCTAGTATAGGCTCTGTTGTAATAGAGTGGTTCTCAGTTTGGTTTCTTTCCTTTTAAGGTAGGGATTCTCAGATGTGTTCAGGTGCCAGAATGTCTGAACATTGTGGTGCTGTTTTTGGAACTCCATAAAACATTGGAATAGGCAGTTCCAATTCTGCACAAAGAAGCGGTTTTCCAGTAGAAAAATCTGGCTATATTATCATACTGTGGTCTTTATATTACATGTAGTAACCATACATAAATTTTTTAAATCTTCATTTCCAGATTTTCTTGCTGGTGTACATTTGTTAATATTTTCTAACAGGCAAGCTAAAAAAATATCCAAAAAAAACTTAAGTTTGAGAAAAACATATCCATTAGCTGTTTTAAGCTTGTGTGTGTGTGTGTGTGTAAATTTATGTTGGTACCTGAAGATCAGTGTGTTCCAGGAGCATAGTTTGAGATTCTCTGCTCCAAAGGGTTAAAAGGTAACAGATAAAGAAATCACATGGGGGGAAAGTTTTTGCTTCCCAAGTTTTTATTACCAGGAGTAAAATCTTCAAAGAACTATGTGTGTACTACAGGCACTGAAAGTAGAGGTTAGCTTTTACGGTAAAACTCTTCTGTGGCTTAGGAAGAAGAGATACCCCATCAGAGACCCCAGGGTATAGTGGAATTGTGGGAAGCAGAGTGCTTTAGGTGGTAGAAGAGGAGAAAACGGGAGACCGCTTTTCCCAGGTCTCTGACAAGAATTTTCCTGGCGAGTTAAATCAATACATTATGCAACCTCCCCACAGCTCCTAATCCCCTGAGTCCTTGGAACCATTTCCTATCCATCCTGCTGCTTACTCAAGAGGCCCATCTTCACCCTGTGCCTCTGACTGTGGGAGCTATGACTGGTGACTTCTTGCTTGGCGCACCCAGGCCCAGTGTGAGGCCAGTGGAGGAAGGAGCTGGTGTCTGTTTCATGAAGTTGGAACTCTGAATTACTTTAACCATAGAAACTGTGCCCTTATAGTGATTAAGGGCTATACCACTATTGATACATTATTTCAGTTACTTTTATTTGGGGGAAGTGGAGGGTGGGGAGCACATAAGTGATCTGTTGTTGGAAACTACTTTGTTAAACTGACAAAATTTTGATTCTTGGTGTTGCTGTGTTATAACTTTTATAAAATTGGAAAATACCTGAAATAAATGAATATCAGTTTTCTGAATAACTGAACTATCTTGGACCACAGTATGCATTACAAAGAAAAATAATGATTCTGTGATTTTGTGCTTCTCATCAATGTGGTCTTTTATGACCATGTTATTATGGATGACTGCATTTGATTACTGGGCAATTCCAAGGAGGCTGTGAATGCTTTCTTATAGACCTGGCTACATAGTAACTGCTAATTTCTCCAGATCCCAAACAGTGAGAAAGCTCAACAGGCTGGGAGTTTCCAAAGCCCTGTACCATATAATATCTTTTGAGTCATGAAAGAAAAGTTTAGTTACCGTTTGTGTTAAGTGAATTTTATTTTCTTTTCCTTTGAAAATTGCTATGTATACTCTATATGGAAGTGCCCAGTCAAACATTGGAAGTGTCAGGGAAATTATTTTTTAAATTATATGAAACAGGCTAAACCCAGTAGGAGGGATGAAGATTGGCTCAGGAACTGAAAGGTTATAAGAAGAAATCTAGAAACTGGAGAACTCTGTGGAGAGAAAAAAGAGAAAAAAGTATATCCAGAATATTGTTATGTCAAAAAAAAAAAAAGAAAATATATTATGGTCCTCCTTATGTTAAAGCAAACCTATGTATGCTTGTGAATGTGTAGGAAAAGGTCTACAAGGATGGGGATTACTACTGGGGAGCATCAAAGGGAAACTCACTTTTTGATGTTCAGTTTTTTGTTTGAATTTTTATAGGGAACACGTATTACTTTTGTACACACAAAATTTACAGTTTATAAGAGATTAAGTAAGAGGAATAGTTTCGGGCGCCTGGATGGGTCAGTCGTTGGGCGTCTCCCTTCCGCTCGGGTCATGATTCCGGGATCCTGGGATCGAGTCCCACATCGGGCTCCCTGATTGGCGGGGGGCCTGCTTCTCCCTCTCTCACTCCCCCTGCTTGTGTTCCTGCTCTCTCTATCTCTGTCAAATAAATAATAAAAAAAAGAGGAATAGTTTTGCCCTGTTGAGTCCAACAGTAAATGGGAGGATATAGGGCCAGAGTATGATGTCATCAGGCTTCAGGTAGCGGCCTCATCTGGTTCCATGTTGCCCAGAGTTCCCAGGGTTTAAGGCAGCAGCAGACTCCAGGAGGGACTTCAGTGGCCTGGGCAGGTGGGGTCAGGGTGGGCGGGGGCAGCAGAGAAACGGGAAGCATCAGGAAGTAAAAAGAGATTGGTGGAGGCCCCACAGAGGTGTGGGAGCAGGTGAGAGTAGCATAAGGCATGGACATATGTGGGAGGAGTCAGAGAGGAACTGATATTTTGATTGTAAACTCCTTGAGGGCATGGCCAGTCTCCTTCATGTTTGTATCCTATTCTGCCTAGTTCATTGATTTGCATTTAGTAGGAACTCATTAAAAAAAAATGCTAAATGCCTGAGTTGGGCAAATGTGTAAAGCTGTATGCTTCAAGCACTTTGCCTGTGGCAGGAGGGTTATTATATGATACCATTTCTAAGGACCCTTTTGGTGATATGGTCTATACATGGTTTCCATAAGCCGCATTTCTTTCTTTCTTTCTTTTTTTTTTTTTAAAGATTTTATTTGACAGAGAGAGACACAGCGAGAGAGGGAACACAAGCAGGGGGAGCGAGAGAGGGAGAAGCAGGCTTCCTGCAGAGCAGGGAGCCCGATGCGGGGCTCGATCCCAGGACCCTGGGATCATGACCTGAGCCGAAGGCAGATGCTTAATGACTGAGCCACCCAGACACCCCCATAAGCCACATTTCTTAAATAGTGCATCGGTGTGTGGTTGTTTTACTAATGTGGTTATATGCAATACGGGGAGCAGTTGCTTTTTAAACGTCAAAATACTGGCTAATCCATACCAATAGCAGTGCCATTGGTACTCACGTGTATACAAATCTCTCTGCATTGATAAGGTCCCAGAGAGAATAGGGACATAAACATTCTCAGTTTATAGGGTTCTGCAGAGGAAACTATAAGAGACACATAAACATTTTTGTTCCTGTAGCCATCTAGAAAGAATAATATCTTCATTATGTTCTCATTTCTACTGAGGATCTTAAGAATAGCACATTAAATGCTAAAATTTTCATATTTGCAAACCAATGGAGATGGTATATTTGTCAGCATTTGAATGTCTCATTAGTGAGATGAGAGGAAAGGCAAAATTAAAACTCATTCTCTTTGACAGTTACATACTTTTAAACTATAGGAAAGTGACTAGAGGAAATGCGTGATAATTTTGATCAGAAAATGTTTTAATTGCTTTTTTTATTATGTGTCTTATTTAAGTCCCATAATAGAGCCATAAATATCATGAATTATAAATAGCTGCTTACATAAATAATGTATCCTCTCTCCCTCCCTTCTGTCAAGATTGAAAAGGCCAAACCCATTAAATGTGGAACATTTGGTGCAACATCTTTACAGCAGAGATATTTAGCTACTGGAGATTTTGCTGGAAACCTTCATATATGGTAAGATTATTTAATCAATATTAAGACATGAGGTAGGCCATTTCTTTGATAGTCGTGTTGCTCTTCCTCTGAAAGGGAGAATTCTAATTTTAAAATGTTTCTTGTTCAATTTTAACTATTTATAAAAATGCAAGAATTGTCTTTTAATACACATTTCTAGATTTCATATTCAAAATCCTTTTAAAAATACTGTTTTTCTTTAGATATTTTGAATAATGTTACCAATATTTATTTCCATACCTGCTGTTTGGTGCTAGCATTTAATACTTTATAAGTGTACATAAAGGGCTCTTCCCCACACATGTGTAACACAGAAAAGTTCAATATTGTTAACATATCAACAAGACAACTGGCATTACAGAATGACATACTGAATTTTTATTTGTTTTAATTTTTTAATGTGTAACTCTCAATTCATTAAAAAAAATTTTTTTTTAATACTTTAGCTAACATCTAAGCACAACTTTTTAGGAACATATCTGTTGAGCAAATCAATATAAACCTGTTATTAATGAACAAAACCATAATTATGCCAAATGTTTGTAATTTTCATGTTCTACCTAGAGTTATTTCCTCGTATTTAAATTAAATTGCAGGGACTGATATTTCTCCTTAATTACTTTTTAAGAATATCTCTTAAGTGTTTAAAGTATACATAGTAATGTTCTAGAAAGAAACTATCTTCTCTGTCTCATGTTTTCTAAGGTGACCTTTCTTGATTCTCACTTAGAATCTGCTGCTTTGTAATTGAATTTCTCTGACATATTTATCTTAGAATCACAATATAAAACAGAATGAAGCTATTTTAACTTCCCTTTGCTTTAACTGCTTAATACTTAAGTTCGCATCTATTAGAATACATCGGTTCTTACATGCTATGTCATATACTTTAAAAGAAATCGGGAGAGACCAGTCTGATTGTTATTTTTAAAAATAACATATTTCAGTATAGGAATATGCAAAAAATACAACTGTTGACTGTCTTTCTAATACAGTTTCCTAGTATAGTTACAGGTATCACTGACTTAACTATCATTGTTAAGTCTTACAGTTTCATGTTATAAAAAGCAGTGTTTTAAAGTCTGTAAAAGCAGTGAAAAAGTTCTTTTAAGTAGAATCTCAGCCCTGTTTAGATTTTACTAATAAATCTTGGCCTAGTAATAAGTTGGGATTACATTTCATGAATAGCTACATTAATTTTTTTTTAAAGTGTAGATTATCAAAAACTGACCTGTTAAAGAGAAACGTGGTTTAGAAGCTCTAGTAGAAAAAAGGCAGGAGAAGGGGTATATTAACATAACCTACTTGAGCCATTCATCCCCCTTCCATATTGGGTATTCTCAGACACTCATAGTAGTGGGTACTTTCCTGCATTCCTTTCTCTTAACTAACCTAGATTTAGACAAACTTACCTTTGTTGTGACCAGCATGATGATACACTGAAAAATATGTAACGAGAGGAAACTAGTATGGAATTTAGTGAGAAAATAATACATTATAAAGGAAGAAATGTATACAAAGTAAACATTACTCATATTTTATCCTTCCAAAAGATCTCAAGATCAGACTACCAAAGCCTATTTTGGAAAAACATTCTGAATTACTTTGAATTTACTCTGTGTTTAAAGTAGTGATTATTAGATTTCAGTGAACCAAAGGGTCAGCAGATTTGGGGCTCCTCATCCATTATATCTGGGGAGGAGCCCAGGAATCTGCATTTATTATCAAGCTTGCCTGGTAAGTCATGTGCAGAGGTCCTAGATTATCTCTGAGAATTACTAAGTGGGCTCAGGACATAGAGTTCCAAGTTGAATGATGACAGTTCTCATTGAGGGCTCGAAAGAAGCTAAAGTGGAGAGAAAATATTGGAAGTAAATGTATAAATTACCTTCATAGCAAAACCCTTATTTTTAAACAAAAATCTAAATATGGTATGCATTCTTAAATTTCAGTAGTGAACTAAATGTTTGGGACCATGGAGTAAGTAGGAAGCTGTGTTCTTTTGTCTAGGAATTTGGAATCTCCAGAGATCCCAGTATATTCCGTAAAGGGCCATAAAGAAATTATAAACACCATAGATGGTGTAGGTGGACTGGGAATCGGGGAAGGCGCACCGGAAATTGTGACTGGCAGCCGAGATGGTAAGTTAAAGTATTCTATGTATTTCAAAAAATTTTTTTCTTTAGATAAATCTTTATGCAACAGTATATCTTTTCTTATGGAAATCGACTTCGGTAGCCATGACTCCCTAAATCTAACTGTACTTTTTTAATAGGCAAGTTTAATTGCATATCCCTCAATTGCCTCAGACTTGTGGATGTTTTGAGATAGAGGCATAGCACTTACTATTTTAGCTTTGAGCTAGTTCAACTACTAACAACCATAGTTTCTTATGAACTTTGAAAGATTTAAAATTTCTTTACAGGTTTTTGAGGCAGCTGACAATATAAGGTGGGTGGCAGCTTTTCACATTTTGGCGGGGGAGGGACAGAGGGAAAGAGAGGGAGAATCTTTTTTTTTTTTTTTTTTTTTAAGATTTATTTATTTGTCAGAGAGAGAGCACAAGCAGGGGGAGCGGCAGGCAGAGGGAGAAGCAGGCTCCCCGCTGAGCAAGGAGCCCGATGTGGGGCTCAATCCCAGGACCCTGGGATCGTGACCTGAGCCAAAGGCAGACGTTTAACTGACTGAGCCATCCAGGTGCCCCAAGAGAGGAAGAATCCTAAGCAGGCTCCATGCCCAGTGCAGAGCCAAACACAGGGCTCAATCTCATGACTCTTGAGATCATGACCTGAGCCGAAATCAAGACTCGGATGCTTAACTGAGTGAGCCACCCAGGCACGCCTCGCTTTCTTTTTTTAAAAAGCAGAATTAGTACTTGTGAAAATTGTCATGTTGATAGCTGGTTGAACATCGAAGTTCTGTGATCCTTCCACTGAGCATTGTAGAAAGATCCAAGGGCACCAACACTACTTTTCTACCCTGTGGTGACTAACAAGGGACAGGTCTATTGGTGTTCAAAGATGTTCTGAATGACTGTAAAAGGAGTCAGAATTTGTTGCTTCATGATGGGTACATAAAAAATTTGGTACCTTCTTGGGTTTGGCTAGTTTTTTTTTTTATGTTATGTTAATCACCATACATCATTAGTTTTTGATGTAGTGTTCCATGATTCATTGTTTGCG